AAAGAAAGTTCTTCTTTTACAATTAATTGGATGAAATATTATGTGCCAGTACGAGTAACTCTAAGTTAAACAGACGTTTTCCTATTTTCGCTTTTATATGGGAAATTATCACTGGTGTAAACATCTGTTGAGAATGAGGTCCAGTATACTTCAATAGTCAAAATCGTTGTGATATATTATGTCACTGCAGTGCAATTTCTTCAATGTTTTACCTGGCCACTCCAAGACCATATCCATTTAGACTGTGAATTCTTATGAGGCACTTCAATAATAGTGTCTAGTATTAAGAAATGAATACGTACGTATTTAGGTCTCATTTACTGAATAAATAGATGCCATGATCATTCAGTTGTGCCGCTGCAGGATTAACAAGGCTATCAGAAGAGGTTATACCAACATATGACCCAACACATTTATCTCCATTGCGCCGTATATTCTATATAAATAAACTTTGTGTAATGCATACCTTTTCCAGATTCACTACATGCGAGTAAGATAAATACGAGAATAAAGCTTGAAGTGATCTTCATGCTAACAAATAACCCATGAAACGGCATTTACAGAGTAAAGTTATATTTGCTTAAACTTGTCAGTTACAAGTTCGTTTTACCATATATCTACCTTTTTATTTATTCAGTTAACTATTTACCCGTTTATTTGATATTTCAATTTCTAAAATAAATAGTATACAATGCGCGCTGTGATTGGTCAGATAACATGTTTTGATGAAAGCATCAAKCACGCTCGCGTGACGATGTTCACGTTTTTCCCGCTTTTTTTATTTGTTATTATTGTTGCAGCAAAGAGGGGGAAAATAATATTCAAAAAAAAAAGAAATAACAGGAGAATTGCATAATATATTTGATATGCGTTGGCACAATATTCCTGAGGAAGAACTGTTTAGAACGTAGATTTTAGACGATACGCAGTCAAAAAACACAGTAATTTTATGCTGGATCCAACAGGTGTCCAATATATAGAGGGAGTGTTTTTGACAGTATGGCGGTGATTTGAGTGCTTGTATGGGTTGTTTGGGAGGGGGAGGGGGGGGGGGGGGTAGGGATAGACATGGGTGTGGTTGGTGTGTGTGTGCCAAATGGGGAGGGGAGGTAGACATGTGTGTAGTTTGAGTATGTGTAAACAAAGTTGAAAACTAAGGAAACGTAAAGCACAAACCTGCTTTGGAGGTGGAAGACCTAAAGAAACTAGCTTCAAGAGTAGTGATCTACGACGACTCCGCTTGGTCTGCTTCTAGCTTCAAACTACATTGTTTTGTTGTCGAAGAGGAAGAGACGGACAATGATCACTAACTCCAACCAGATTTGCCCTTGAAAAAGATGCCCGAGGAAAATTGTGTGCCACTATGAAACATAACGAGTAAACCAGAAACCATCCAGGGTGATCAAAGGATGTTGAATCTTTTCAGAAAGGCGGCATGTA